AATTCGACTTAATCATGACAAATCCAAACATATGAAATTTACTCTTCGAAAAAACAGCTTCCCCCCAGTTTATATTGACAACAATCAAATTCCTCAAACGGACACGATACTTTACCTTGAATTCACCTTCGACAGAAGGATGACATAGGGTCCGCATGTTAAAATGAAAGCTAAGACACTTATTCAACGATTCAATCTATTTTAGTCTCTTTTTCCAAATCTTCAAAACTAAAACTAAAACAGAAACTGAATACATATAGACACTTACTTAAACCTATATGTACTTACGCTTACCCATCACAAATATACGCTAAAAAGACGCACCTACAAATTGAAATTTTTGTAGGTTATTGTACCTTCCAATCAAAATTATTGCGACTTATAACAGATACATCTTAACGGTAACAAAGCTCTACATAATGACCTCCACCTTCCAACAGTCGACCAACATGTAACGACCGTTTACCAACGATTTTACACTAATTTAAACGGACATAATAACAGACTAATAAGAGACATGGCCACAGCTGACATACCTCAGAACATGAGGAGGAGACTGAAAAGGCGTTGAATGAGAGATCTGCTTCCTTAAACAACCTAAAAATTGGAACAAGTTAGGAAAGAGGTACTGCTGAGTACTTTTCTTCCCCATGTCTTTCATGTCATTATTTAATGTGTCGCCATCACATTTGCTGATTGTCAACAATAAAAAAGTTTTAAATTAAAAATATTTTAATTAATTAAATATTCTTATTTGTTTCATCTATCGTTAGTTCCTTTGAGATTGAACTGGGAACAATTAGAGAGATGTTGCTTTTAATACTGAACCAACAATTTAATAAATAACAATAGGAATGATACTTCTTCAGTTTATTTAATATATGACTAAGAGGATTAAACCCCCAACAGCCTGCGAAAACAATGGGAAACGCTCCAAAGTTTTGCAAATTGCATAGCTATATTATACAAAGGCGCTAAAGAGTTAAAAATATTTTGTTTACCGTACATGAAGATCTGGCCAGATTTTTCGCTATGAAAGTACCATGAGGTGAACCCGAATATTCATTTAATTGGATGTAGCATAGTGTATATGTATAGGTACGCGTGTGTTTTTTTTAAATTTCCTTATTTTTAAGTTATTTTCTTTTCTTTATTGTATATTCTTTTTGATTATGATTTTTTTTAGCTTTAATTTTGATTTAGTTGTTATTTTGCTTCTGTTTATTTTATATTTTTTTGTACATATAGTACGAATGTGATTTTACCTCACTATAAACCAATGTCTAAGTTACAGAAAGTTGTAATATTCAATACATAATTTTTTTAAAAAATTGTATCAAGTAAATAATTTTGGCAATTTATTTATCTATAAGTAATCATCATTTATTTTCAAGTAATGTAATTTTTATTAAAAGTACTTTTGCATTTATATGTATACTAACCAAATGAAATAATTAAAGTATATATACATATATTTTTTTTATAGCCCCATTATATTTATATTTGTCTTGAATCCTTTGATTTTCATTGTCTTCTTAATATTTCTTTTACTGACAAAAAGCATTGTAAGCTGTATTTTTGCTTATATTTTTTGTCGATTCTGAGTATGATTTCTACATCTGTAATATAATCGGCGATGGGGCCCACCTCAGGCTTGAGTTGACTTCATCTTTCAGCGCTTACAACTAAATTAAAATACCTATCTGATGTAAGTTGTTGCACACGTTTTGGATAAACGCAATACTTTTCCTTATATATTATATATATGGGTAAGTAAAAATTAAAAAAAAGTTTTTTGGGGGAAAATTCAATTACCAAAATTAGTAGACTCCCTGAATTTATTAAAAAAAAAAAAATTCTATCAATCTGTTTAAGTTAATTATTGGAACCGTTTTTTATATATTATTAAATAAATAATTTGAGCGGTTGATATATAATATTGGCTGGTAATAAGTTATTGAAAAGAGGGTTTGCCAATTGTTGAGACTTTTCGAAAAATGATTTTTTTTCGTTTTGCGAGAAATTATTTTACTGTTGATAAATTTTGCTCTGCTTGCATATCTAATGTTTTCATTCTCTGTATCGTGGTTCCTCTTACAATTTTTTTGATTATTCCATTTTGGAAAAATCGTAACCTTTTTCCAGTTGTTTTGCTGACATGATCAAACAGAGGTGCACCATACAACAGAGTCGGTCGTATTGTACTTTAGGTCGTATAGATAAGGAGCTTTAGGTGTAATGATAGGTTTGTTGTCATTATTATTATAATCCTTTTTCTAAATAGTTACATAACTACTTATAATTTGGATGAAACTTTGTAAATTATAAAGTGGACATCAAACATTTTCAAATATATAAATCACAAGAAAAATATAAAAGAGGCGATATGAAAAAAAAATTAAATTTGCCTATAGGCATATTCTTAAAGCCTCTTAATCTTTCTTAAAAGTAATGTGCCTATAAAGAAAAAGTAAATTCTTCGACTCAAAAAGTAATTATATAATTTAGAATAAGTTCTGTTCAACCCAATAGTTTAATTATATATATATATAAGCAGAATTATTATGTCAATATCCCTGACAGCCGTGGAAGAGATTGGCATAATAAATTAAACAGATAGCTAATAATATGATATAGTATTAGTAACTATTTTGCCTTAATTTTTATTCACTAAACGATTTTTTATTGTTTTTATTTAAATGCCTTCGTCTTGATCTTGTTACATTTAGGCGGTTTAGTGTTGGTCTAGCAAAGAGACCTATTTTGGGTAATAATACACATATGAGTAAGTGACTATATTAAAATTAATAGGTCGTATCTCTGCTGGTTTTGGTTATCGCATATTATTTCTTTTTAGTATTATTTATAAAACATTATCATTGTTTCTGTGGAGTGCAGAAGACAAAACATTTTATGGACAGTAGAATAGAGTCGCTATACTCTTGAAGAACCATCTTCTTTATTTCCTTTCTAGGGTCACTTAGGGAGTTGTGGGTCTACTGCACCTCGGAGAGCTAGGATATTGCTATTTTTTCTCCCTTTTGAAATCCCTTTGTCTCAGACCGTCGCAATATTTTATTTCAATTGCCACGTATCTGAAACTAACAAAGTTTTGAAATCTCTTCGATCGTGCAAAAATACAAATCATTGGTTTTGAATTATAATATATTGATCAGGTAGTAGAGTGACATCAACTCGGGTACCTTTAACACTTGCAGGCAATTTACGGGTAAATTAAAAACAAATTAAATTATTGTAACTTATTTATAGTAAGGACCAATGATTCAGAATAAATAGGTGATAATTAATTTTCTCTGTATAGATCTTGAGCATTTTTTTTTTTTTATAAATTATGTACTTGGCAGGCGTCAAGGTATTGTTGACAATCAGCAAATGTGATGGCGATACATGATATAATGACATGATAGGCTTGGGGAAGGAAAGTACTCTTCCCTAACTTGTTGCAATTACTTAAGTTGTCTGAGGGAGGAGATCCCTCATCCAACGCTTTTTTAGTCTTCTCCTCATGTTCTGAGGTATGTCAGCTGTGACCATGTCTCTTACAAGTCTGTTATTATGTCCATTTAAATTCGTGTAAAATCGTTGATGAAGGATCGTTATATGTTGGTCAACTGTTGGGAAGTGGAGGTCAGTATGTAAGAGTTTTGTTAGTCACAGGTGCTTTTATTATGAGTCGCAGTAATTTTGATTGGTAATTGAAGTTTTTGTAGGGGTCTTTTTAGCGATACCGTATATTTGTGATGAGTACGTCTATATGGGCTTAAGTAAGTATGTATATTTATTCAGTTTCTGTTTTAGTTTTAGTTTTGAAGATTTATAAAAAAAAGAGAGTAAAGTAGTTTGAGTCGTTTGTTAAGTGTCTCACGTTTCATTTTAACATGCGGACCCCATGCCATCCTTCTGTCGAAGTTATGTCCAAGGTAAAGTACCGTGTCCGTTTGAGGAATTTGATTGTTGTCAATATAAACTGGAGGACAGGTGTTTTTTCGAAGAGTAAATATTATATGTTTGGATTTGTCATGATTAAGTCGAATTTTTCCATAGTGTGAACCAATCTTGTAATTTGAGTAAGGGATGTTGTAGTATTAGTGAGGTCTGGTCTGGGCCTTGATGTTTAGTGAGAATCGTGTTGTATGCATAAGTAGCTGTCAAGATCTCATCGTTAGTAGGTATATCGTAAGTGTATATATCGCAAAGTAGAGGGGCTAGTATTGAACCTTGGGGAACTCCTGCCAAGATTGGACGAGCTGAAGATATTTCCGAGCCCTGCCGAACTGAAAAAAAATCTGTCGAAGAATAAGGATTGAAGGATTTGATGGAAATTGAAGGAAATTTAAAGAGAAGACCCTGGTGCCAGACTCTATCAACATTTAAAATACATTTTCGTTGTTTAGGCCAATGTTTAGCGCTAATTACTCTCGTTGATGTTTTTTTTATTTATACTTAATTATGTTTTAAATTATAAAATTAGTATTAATATTAGTGAATTTTATTTATGTTCCTTTTTATTAGAAAAGATCAGTGAGAAGTGTTGGTTTTATTCAGTGGTATTAAGAAACATTGGGCTGCACAATTCTCCATCAATCGTAAACATTATCTCATTACACTAGCAATTATTAGTATTTATAAGTATATGTACTATGTATAATTGTATATATGAATACATGTTTTAATTATTGTTTCTTTTTACTTTACCTCTTTTCCATTTATGTTTACAAATCATTTTCGGTTACTATAATGTATATCCATCTTAATGAGAATTTCGAAATACAAATAATAAACTCCTGAACTAGCAATCAATTTAGCAACATAAGATTCTTAAATATTACGAAACTTGTGTTTTCAAATTAAAAAAAAAATGAATAAATAAAACTTTATTGTTGTAAAAAAGGAAAATGTTTAGTTATAGATGTGGTAATCATACATGGATGTGGTTATGCTTAAAACCGAAGTAGGGTTGGTTAAAATTAACCTGCAACCTAGAATGGAAATATTTGGTGGAGAAAGGGATTTCCAAGACCATATCCGTATCCCAGGACGGGGTAACCGAGACCAGAGTAACCCAAACTGTGATAACCGTATGGGTATCCATATCCACCATATCCACCGTATCTACCATATCCACCATTAAAGAATCCTCTCTTATCACGGGCTTCTTCGTCAGCGAAGGCTACGACGAAGAGGGCCACGAAGACGATGAGCTGTAAATTAAATTTTACACAAATTAAGATGTCTTTATATAACAAATACTAAATAAAATTATTGATTTTGCTATTTACCAGAATCTTATAAGACACCATTTCTTGTGTCCTAGAAGAATCCCTATGGTTGGCAGAATCTATTCTCTTGTTTATATATAGGGTAGCTGTCTTCATCAACATGTTATCTATCCCACTCATTGGGTCGAGTTTGATGACTTCTAAATGATTCATTGTTTATTTTCGTTCATATATTTAGATTTTCATATTTTTTCCAGTCCTGGAATTTCTTTCTCGTGTGCTGTTTCTTAAAAATTATCACTGAAAAGTGTATTATGCTCAAACTAACACTTCTTCATAGAGGCAATGACAATTCAGCAAGTTGTCAAAATTTAAGCTAAATGTTCACTTACGTTAAGTTATGGTAGTAAATTCTACGTGAAATCGCCAGATTCACTTAGTTACTACTTAATTACTTAGTTGACTAGTTATGGTGTAAATCAACTCTTTTCTCACTATGAACAATGTCCATATTGGGACCGAGTGTTATTTTAGTTAATAAAATAGTTTTAAAAAAAAATACTAGTTACTTTTCACCCGAAATATGAGGTACTCTATTTAATGGCATAATATATATGATTAATAGGGAGAATATGTGTACCATACGTCACTTTTTTTCAATGCTCTATAACTTCTAAAATAACAATGATTTAAAATTCAAAATAGAATTTTATTTTTCCTGATTTGAAAATGTTATGCTAATTTTTAAATTATTTTATCGCCAGAGTTTGACTAAAAAAAAAAATTAAAAAATAATAAGTGAGCCTAGGTACAATTACTATAGTTGTACCTTGGGCAACTATTTATACCTTAGACTACGAATTGTATCTTGAACAATATTTGTTGTAATAGAAACTATAATTATTATTCAATAATTTTATCGTTTATCTACATTGGTAAGCTAACTATTTTATTTCATCTGTTGAAACCCATAATATATTATGCTTGCAGTCAGTATATGATCTTTTATAAACTTGTTCAGTAAAAACCACGAATCAATTTATTCATGAACTATATCGATTTATTTAATTAAAACTATATCGATTTATTTCAGTTTTTCTCGCTCAGCTGCAGAAAATAAATTTTCTTTTCTAGTGAAAAATACATCACATCTTTCTTAATTAGCAACCATTTCAAATATAATTTTTTTGTAAGTATATATCAACAATAAACGGAGCTGTTTTATTTGTTGCCAGAAGAAAATTTTGAAATATTATTTTGGAGACTAATCATATGGTGCTAGAAACCTATAAACACAAAAAATTATAACTAAAAAGGTTATTTGAATTTTCAGTTGAATTTTCAAGTAGAAACGTAAAATTTTCTTTTTCCAAGTTAAAGGAAGAAGGTGTGAAAGTGAACATACGTAGTTGAAGGTGATATCCACCGAAAAAATGGATCCCAACCCAGCTACAGATGTTGTGGTAAGGGACGAAAGGATGGACTTAATCGACGCTGCTTGTGGTGATGCTTGGGCATTGGTAACGGGTAAAAAAAGAAATTTTCCTAATGAATCTAGGGATCCAAAAAAATACAAAACAACCGAAACAGAAAATACAACGCCAATATCTGTAAGTAATTCTTATGATGTACTTAATACCATTACCGAAAATGAACAATCCGCAGTAAATGATCAAACAAACAAAAAACCACCACCAATACACATAAACGACGTTCAAAATTATCAGGCGTTTGTCCTATTCCTTGAAAACAACGCAGCTCCAAATTCTTTTTTTCTGAAAACAACTATCAAAGGTGTAACAGTTTAGCCGAAAACACCTGACGTATACCGTAAACTAGTGAGTAGTCTTAGAAATGGAGGTGCTGAATTCCACACATATCAGCTACCTGAGGACAAAAATAGAAGAATTGTTATTAAGAATTTGCACCACACCACCCCAATCTCTGAAATCAAAAATGATTTAGAAAAACATGGTTACATTGCAACAAACATCACAAATGTATACTCTCGATTCAAAAAACCTTTGCCCATGTTTTTCATAGACATAACAAAGGCTTCTTTCAATGAAAAAATTTATGAAATTGAATCAATTTATTATACAAAAATTGTTGTAGAGGAGCCTCGAAAAAAAAGAATTATACCTCAGTGCATAAGATGCCAACAATTTGGTCATACAAAATCATATTGCAACCATTCTCCACGATGTGTAAAATGTGGCCAAGGCCACGAAAGTGTATCCTGCTTAAAGACCAGGGAGACAAAGGTGACCTGCGCAAACTGCCTTGGAGACCACCCGGCCAACTACCGAGGATGCCAAGTCCTGAAGGATCTGAGGGCGCATAGGAGAACAGAAAGAACCAACCATCCTCCTAGATCCCCACCTCTCCCTCCACCACCAAGTTTCGAAGAATTTCCGACTCTTCAGCAGCCCTTGCGAAAAGAGCAGCCAATACAAAAAAATGCTTCGCAGAAAGCTACGCCAGCTCAGCTGCAGGAACCATCAAGAAACCAGATGACAAGAAGAGAAAATGCTACTACATCTGCTCACATCAAACCATCATGTTCAGGTATGAGGCGGGAAACTACTCAGCAGCCACCTTCAGCTGAAAATAATGCCCCACCTCAATTGCTCCAATTACTCAATGGTTTAAACTCCCTCATACAGCCCCTGTTTAGTATCCTCCAACAGCTTGCACAGGTGACTCACGCCATGTATCCACAAAATGTCCGCTAATCAGCTGACTGCAGGCTCTTTGTCCATTCTTCTGTGGAGACATGGCCACAGCTGACCTACCTCAGAACATGAGCAGGAGACTAAAAAGGCGTTGGATGAGGGACTCCTTCCTTAGACAACCTAAGTAATTGGAACAAGCTAGGGAAGAGGTACTGCTGAGTACTTTCCTTCCCCATGCCTGTCATGTCATTATAACATTATCGTCATCACATTTGCTGATTGTCAACTTATAGTTAACAGGCGCAAATATATATTTTATAGACAAAAAAAAAAAAAAAATATTTTGAAACAAAATGTAGTGTTTTACAACTACATTATCTCTAAATGGGAAGAACGTCATCACATAAGTATTTTATTGTTGCTCTATAAGGTATGGAACAGCAAATTTGCAACTTTTTTTTTTTTATCACAAAAATTCTTTTGTAGAATTTTTTAAAGAAAATGCAGAAGACTGCAATGAATGGAATATTCTCAGAAGGTGAAATAAAATTCGAGAATTTATTTATTTATTTTTTTTTTTTGCCAAGAGATATTAGATATGCTCTATCACATGAAACACCAAAATTTGTGGATATTTTACTATTACTCCATTTTTTTTTTTCATTTTAAAAATAAACTAAATAAAACATGATTCGTTTTATTAAAAAAAAAATTTCGATTTAACTTCGAATATTTAACCTGTCAACTTGTGTCGATAGTTAGCTAATGTGCTGACATACGAAATATAATGACATGTCAGGCATGGAGGACAGTACTCAACAGCACCTCTCTCCTAATTTATTTGAATTACTTAGGTTGCTTAAGAATGGAGATTAATATATGGAGATACTATTAATTGTATTAATACAAATTTCATTATAACAAATATTAATTTGTTTAATGGTCAAAATAATTTATATTTTTTGTTTATTTTGCATTTTAAGGAAGTCTATATTTTTATTATTTTGGTTAATGTCCTTGATTTTTTTGTAATGATTAGGCGATGGGGCTCACCCTTTTTTGGCATTGAACTTATATATAATAAAAAATTAATAATAATTTCATTTTGATATTGAAGTCTGTTCTAAATGTATGTTTGAGTATTAGCTAAATAATTCATGGTAGAGTCATTATCACAATAAAATAATAAATAACTATGATTTACAATTCTTAACTTTGAAACAGTCCTTTGTTCTTTAAACCTTTTTAATTTTTTTTTTTTTGATTTTGGAGGTAAGAAGAATATTTAACAAAACCATTAAAATTAAATTGTAAAGATTAGAAAAATATAAATTAACAAAGACATTTAAATAAAAGGTTAATGATGTCATGAATATAATTTAAAAATATGGTTAAAAAATAAAATTGATGTTAAAAGATGAGAAGTTAAAAAGTACAATTTAAATATTAAAAGAAAAAAATTGAAAGCCCATTATAATTAAAAATTAAGATTAAAAGAAGAAAATATAACCAGGTATATTTCCAATTCGTTGAGGAACCTACAAACTTAACAGCTACCTATATTTACAATTACAAGATGTGATTCAATTTTGTACAAATTTGTAGATGTGATTACAATTTTTAGATTAAATTATGTGAAATATTTTTGTTACCTTCAGGAACAATATTAAGTTTTTAATTGAATTGGGGTCCTTTTTTGAGGGATGTTCAAGGATATTTCTGAAAAGATGTTGATTCCTAATAAAAAAAACAAGGAACACGCACATATAAAACAAGAATATGTGTTGTAATATTATAATATTTTTTATTGAGAAGAACTTGTTTAAAATAGAGTTTCTATGAGGGTTGCCCAAAATAGTTTGTTCTAATTGTATGTTTCTACTAAATGATTCGGGGTAGAGGTATTATCACAATAAAATAATAAATAACTATGATTTATAATTCTTAACATTGAAACAGTTCTTTGTTCTTTAAAACTTTTTAGTTATTGATTTTGGGAGTTCCACTATAGCAACGTATTAAGGATTAGGCAAGACTCTTCCTTATTAAGTAAAAAAAAAAAAAAAATATTGTTATGATACTCATTGATGTAAAAGCTGTACTTTGTACTGCATATTTCTTTATTCTGTCCTTCCTACCCCATGAAAGTGGTAGTTAGTAAATGATTTTTTCCCACCTTCATCTGATTCAAAGAGCCTTATTAATATATTATTATATTTAATATATATATAACCATAGAAAAAAAATTATTTTTCTAATTCCAATTTATAATATAACACTATTATTAATAATATAAATTTTTTTATCAAAATAAGATTTATTCTTAACCTACCATGTTAATTTTAATGCTAATTTTTAATAAATAGTATACCTTATAAATATTTGGTTCCATGTAAATTATAAAAGTAAACAAAGTTGATACAAAAATAATGTTAATTTGAAAAACAACTATTGGCCCTGGGTTCAGTGAACCTTCGAAGAATTAATATCTGCACGATCGTTAAGAGATCATTAACTTCGGGCTTCCACAGTTGTGTCATCGTCATTTGGTTATATCTTTATTATTTCTTGAGTCTATGATTTGGGATACTATTAAGCAACATGGAATATATTTTTTTTAAGGTTCTTTTATACTCGTTTGCAATAGCAAATTTTTGGAACAAGTTTTATCAGAAATCCTCAGAAGTTTTTAGATTTGTGAAAGTCAAAGTCCAGCAGATTGATTTCTTGTGATAAATAAAATGCCACCATCTGAATACATAAAACACATCTGTCCGTTTGCTACGTATATAAACTACTCTATGGAGTTACTATGGCAGAACGTCAATAATATGCACATCATTTTATAAAATGCTAGACAAAGAGATCTCCTTGCCACGTCGTTTTCGGCCTTCCGGTAAAATCAGACTTGCCTGTTTTCACTGCATTCCGTATTGGTTTATCATAAAATTTTTCGTATATAGAATCAATATGGTCTTCAACAATATGTCTGTGCATAATATTTAATTCGCACCAGAGTTAGCGTGTGGTTATTCTGAATGTTTGACTGAAAATTATATATATGTTTTCGGATGTCAGTAGGACCAAACCTTAAAACTATAAAGATGTAACAGCTTTTATTGAGAGTATACAATACTTATAAACATATATTTACAAATTGTATTGAGAATAGTCTGTGAAGTTGATATCCGATGGTGCATCAGATTTGGGTTTGGGGTAGGTCAGTTATTGGACTTGTTTTAGTCTGTTTAGTGGAGGTAGGAGTAGCCAAGACCGTGGTATCCAAGACCAGAGTAGCCGGCACTGTGGTAGCCAAGACCATATCCGTAGCCCAAGCCGGAGTAACCAAGACCAGAGTAACCCAAACCGTGGTATCCGTAGGAAGAGTATGGGTAGGCACCGTATCCACCATAGAAGACTCCTCTCTTACCACGGGCTTCTTCGGCAGCGAAGGCTACAGCGAAGAGAGCCACGACGAGGACGAGCTGTGAATTATAATTATAAATATTTGTTATAATACATTTTTATCTCCCGGTGGTAAAGGACACCATGTACATTTATTTTATTAATTAATTTAGTATTTAAGAAATAAATTTTAACAGCTGAAAGTTATGGAACATTGGCGTCCCTGGACAAATATAAAAATATGACATGGTGTTCTTTATCTGTGAGAAACATATTAAATTATATATTATATATTATATATAATATATATATATATATATATATATATATATATATATATATATTATTAGCTATTTACCAAAGTCTTGTAAGATGCCATTGTTGCTTGATGATTGGAAGCCTTGTGATTTCCTACAACCGACCGTTTCGGTTGTTCCTTTTATATATGTGCCCAATGTGGATCACCTTGCTGACATATCGATCAGCTGGTGGGTGTGTTAGAGTTTCTAAAACAAAAAATTGTTGAAAAAATGTGTTTTGTGTAAATTTACCTTGTACTTTGATTTTATTGGAAATGTTTAGTAAAATAACTTTAAGATTTTTTTCTTCTTCTTTGATTAATCAAAAAGTAATATTTAACAAAAAAAAAAAAAAAAAAGAAACATTATTTCTCTACTTCCTTATGACCTGATTTTGATTACTTCATTACACTTTTTCTTCTGTACGTTAGCTAAAACTATAGTTCTCGTTAAAGTTAAACACTTAATTACCGTGTGATATTAAATTGTGTTTATTATCAATGTTATTATCAGATGTCGCATCCAACAATAAATTCATATTTATGTTTCTAATTAAAAATAAAATAAAATGCATTTTTTTTTAACTTGGTTTCTTCATCTACAACTGTCATGACAACCGGCGAATCTCCTGCAGTAAAAAATACTGGTGTTCAACGCCACCGGCGTGAGGAGTGGCCGCCGTCATACCTTCCTATCTTGATTTAAGTGTACTTTTTAAGCGAGTAGATCCCTCATCCCGCTTCTTTTGAGCCTTATGAGCCTGTTATCTGGAATATTAAATGTAGCCATCAATCTTTTATTAGTGTGTTAGTATGTCCATGCATGTTAATGTGAAATCTTTTTCAGCGTGTCCTTGCTGTTCTCGTTAACTGTTTGAATTTGAATGTAAAGTAATGTTGCAGCTAGTATTAATACCGTGCAGCTTTAGTAATGGTCTTTGTTTGGACACATCTAAATTATAATAATTGAACATTCCATATTCCGTTACTTAGCTTTCATCAAAAGCTCAGACAAGTAGAATGTTTTGCTAATATTTTGCCTCACACTCATATTTTGGTCCTCCGGGCTGGATGTACATATTTTATGTATCTAAGCTTAAATGAAACGATATTAAATTATAGTATACTATTGTGAAGGATATGCACCAATTTCTGAATATTTTAAACAAACTAAATTATAAGTATCTTTCGCAAGGGTATATATTTCTTATAAGATAATTACAGCTGGTCCCTGTAATTGTTTCTAAATTAGCTATCGTTAGCACTGTCTGATTGTTTTGGAGATCGTTCCAGATCAGAGAATCCTGACAGATTCATCCAACTTGCCACAGCTTGTTAGGTAAACTGAATGTGGACAAAGGCTCTTACGTATGACAAGGACCCTTAACCACAGGCTGGCCTCACTGTCATGGCTAGCTGTCCTGTGGTAGATGAACTTTACTGTCGTTACTCTACTTCTATGCTGAATTTTACTACGAAGAATTTTTTATTTATGTGAATATTTCCTTTTCAATATTAAAATACCCATTCCCCAGACAATGAAGGTTTATGTATTAGAGGATATATGTGCCCCAGAGGGATATCACTGATACAGTATTCAATCCACGGATGATATAAGAAAAATTAAATAAATATTCTGACCACAGTCAGACTCTAGCTATTGATCAACCTGAAAAAACAACAACTAATTTTTATTTATTTTTGTCATTGTTGATACCGTCCATACTAATCATAGAGAAATAGACATTGTCTTGTAATATAATACATGAGTTTTTTATTCAAAAAGTGAAACCTAATCATCATTGAAAATTTTCAGGAAACGCGTCAACTATATTTTCTATCATGGGTGATAAATATTCAAGACGCAGTCCCTTTTTAAAAAAAAAAAATAATTTTTTATTTATGCAAACGTTTCAACCCAAACATCTTCAGGGCGTGGTTTGAGCACTGAGGGTGTTCAAGAATGGTAACACTCTATTTAAGTATTCTAAAACCAGTACTTGAACACCCTCAGTGGGTTTAAACCCCTCCCAAAAAAATTAAAGTTAACAAAGTATCGCCTACCATCCCAAACGTATGTATTTATGCCTCCCTTCCTTGCCTTTCGGCTACACGGGATTTTGCCGGTATGGCATATCACACACGTGCATGCGATTCCTCCTATTAAAAAACAAATTAATTGTCATTTTTTTTCAAATCTCTTATTTTTTCATTATTTTCACCATATTAACCTGGCGGCCTTCCATTATCAGATCCTCTTCTTCCTGGATATAGTGGGACGGCCCCAAAGCAGCTTTCCAGCCGTACACAAAACCATTGTAATACGGGTAGTTTTGCTCCGTTACTAACTGGGGAAATTCATCCTCCGTGAGGCCAAAGACTCCAATTTTTTTCATCATTTCGGCTCTTAGTACATCATCCCAAACATATTGCCATTTTCGCTTAAGACAAACTTGATTGACATTTTAAGAGGGGTTAATCTTCCTCCCCTCCTTCCTTTTCTCACCCCTCCAAATAAAGATTATCTACCCAAACATACATAGTCCCCCCTTCATTCTAACCAAGAGGGGAGCTGGAAATTTTCTATGGCCCAGAGCTTCTCAAGATCCGTATATATGGTTTAATATTGCTCAATATAGATAATCAAGACACAATCATTATAAAGTTTTTATTAGTGCCGACGTTTCAACCCAAACATAAGGGTCATCATCAGGGCATGTTTGGGTTGAAACGTTGGCAGTAATAAAATCTTTATAATGACTGCGTCCTGAATATTTATCAACCATGATATGTAGAACTGTCGTCTAACTTCCTTCAATATATTTTCTGTACCAATTGTAACATCAAAACCAATATTTTTAAAAATGCAAATTAACAGATTCTTTGTTTGTAGCTCATATTTAAGAAAATCACTGATTAAACTTACAAGACCGTTTTAGAACAAAACAAAAAAGGTTGATTATGGTTCAGTTTGGAGTGACAAAATAGTACATGATTCAATAGAAAAAGTTATAAAAATTGTGCTATAACTTTTTGATTACTATATTGGAGCGATAAAATAAATATCTTTTTAATTTTTGTTTAAATAAAACAGTTAAAATATGTTAATGATTTTTAAAAAAATAATTAATTAATGCAAGTGCATTCCATTACTTTAAAAAAAATAATAATAAAAAGGCTTTGGAAATGAAATTATTTTCATATTAATTTTTTGATATTTAAGTTCATTTTGAAAAAAAGATACATCTTTGGATTTTTTTGGGTGTTTTTTTCACGGTAATCAATGCTTATCTAGATTTCCAAAAATCTATTTGGGTTCACTTTGGTTAGAAGTAATAACTCATTAAAGAATAAGAAGAAAAAGTCTTTTTATTAATTAAAATTAAATAATATAAATAACAAGACAATACAAAATAATATTTTTGCATTTAAAACCGAAAATCAGACGTTCTACATGGTCAGTTGACCGTCAGAGGAGTCTGTGTTTTATAACAAAATTATATTTCAATCTTTTTATATACAACTAATTAATACGAAAATAAGAACAATTATATTTACAATGTAAGCGTTATATAAATATTTTTATTACAAAAAGAGTGGTACCAAAATTCTGCAATTTATTATTTGTTAAATTCTTTGGTGAGCATTATTCTATAGGAGAAAGCAGACTTCCAGTAAGTTACCAATCCTATCCAATTGTTTCCATTTATTAAATATTTTATGTGATCCCGAGTTAAATTTCTAGATTTTAACCATTTAATTCTAAATTCAGAGAGTAAAGATTCAGGAATTGATAGAGATCTTCTGTTTAGATTTTATTACACATGCTACAAATATTATTTGTTCTTCTTGAAGTGTTTATAATTTAAGTTCAAAACATCAGCTTCAATTCTAATCACCAATCTGAACACCTTCAATGAGCCGTTGTCATCAATATAATTTACTGAGGTTAAATGAGGATAAAAAGTGAAAGTTTTAGAATTCTGGACTTTAATTACATATTGATTATAAATGTCTCTCTGAATTTGAGTTCTTAAGAAATATAAATTAGCTCTCCATAGTTTAACATCATCAGAAATAGATGGATTTAAGTTTAAATTTAATCCATGCAGTTCTATCAGATTAAGTAAGTCCCTAAACCATACGATTTCATTTTTTTTAAATTATCTGTTTTGGTAATATTTTTGGATATCTATGTGGTAGAAGATTCAAAATTTTTATAGTGTAATCAAAATTAAGTTAAATTATGAAGATAGCACTCTCGCTCAATCTCCTCTGGGTTTAGCCCCAGTGATGCGGTTGAGAGAGAAGTGCAGGGATCTCCTGGAGCCATGCTTTTCCCTCCACATTAGGAGGAACAAGTCTGGTTTGGAGTTCTCTCGCCAGATTGTAAATATTGTATATAGGTACGTATGTCTTCTTTTTATTAATTTATTTTCAGGTTATTTTATTCTTATTTATTGTAAATATATTATTTGTCTGTATAATTTATTGTATATAGAGTGTGAATGTGATCTCAGAACACTATTATAAATTTCCTTGAGACAGATTGTAATAATTTTCAATACATTTTTTTTATTTATTTATTTAGAAATATAATATTCTGTCACAGGGACAATCATTATATAGATAAATGAACACATTCACACCGTATATACAAAAAAGAAACAAAATTAACAAAAGTAATATAATAAGTAAATAATAATAAATAAAAACTATATACAATAAAAAAAAATAAAATAACCTAAATATAAGTAAATTAAAACAAAAAATTCAGTCATACCTATATACAATATATACAATCAGGCGGGGAACCCAAATCCCTGCGCTACTCTCTCAACCGCCTCACTGGTGCTAAAGCCGGTGGAGTTTGAGCGAGAGCGCTTTTCAATAAATAAGTTTTAACATAATGTGAAGATAAATAATGGATCTATTTTAGCTTCAAAGTGGATAAAACGTGCTGGAGTATGCTTCGGTACTTTAAATAATTTAAGAACTCATTGTTTAAATTTTTTATTTATTTTTTAAGTTAAAGTTTTTGAATTTAACCATTGAATAAAAGTAGGCATATATACCATATATAGTGTAATTTGCCAGGAAGAAGAAACCAAATGGCAGGCGGGATATCCTTGAAGCTCTATGGAGGAACTTGATCCCATGGCGCAAACAAATCAGCCTCTGCCTATCTTTAGTAGGCTATCGATCAACCGGTGTTGTATTAGCTAGCATCTCACAAATATCCTACTTTTTTTTTTATTGTTGAGTTTTTTTTTTTTATTAGCATGTAGGATCGGGCAATAATTCATTCCCATTTGCGTGTGAGTGCTACTGTAAAAGTGATCCTTAGATATATGAGCAGTCAATTCCCAGGAAGAAACAAAATATACTTTAGGAGTTCCTACTTTATGATTGTTTATTTGGTTGAATATCTTATTCTAGAATTTGTTTAAAATCATTTGTTTTTAATCCATTGACTTATACCTGTTAAATTTCATTAGTTAAAAAATCCTGCTACGATCCTCCATTTCCAATCTTAGCATAGTTATTGGTAATCTATGGGCAATACTTAAAGGCTCCTTACATGGACAATATTATTATTAACGGTAGTGAGTCGACTGTTCTACATATCAAGGGTGATAAATATTCAGGACGCAGTCATTATAAAGTTTTTATTAGTGCCGACGTTTCAACCCAAACACGCCCTGATGATGACCCACATGTTTGGGTTGAAACGTCGGCACTATTAAAAACTTTAAAATGATTGCGTCCTGAATATTAATCACCCTGGAAAATATTATTGAATCATTATGGAGTTTCGTCAATATATCAACCACGTAAGTGCTACAATGACATCAATTATATTGACGTCAATGAAACTGGTTGAAATATTTTTTTTTAAAAATTATTTTTATTGAAGCTCCTTCAATATTATTGAAACAGTATCAATATTATTGCACGTATAGGGGCTATATTGAGCAATATTAAACCATATCTACGGGATCTTGGATATACAAAATTTCCGGCGCCCCTCTTGGTTAGAATAGGGGGGGACTATGTATGTTTGGGTAGATAATATTTCTTTCGAGAGGTGAGAAGAGGAGGAGGGAAGATTAACCCCTCTTAAAATGTCAATCAAATATTCCTTAAATACAAAATTGCAATATATTTGAGTAGGTGAGTAATACTTTGTTGAACTTTTATTTTTTTTGGTGGGTGAAGGGGGTTTAACCAAGGTTTATGATACCGCCGTAAATGTTTTTAAAACATAAAACAGCACTATTATGTAACTGTTCGTTTTGTTTGAAACCTGATTTTTATAGAAAATTTAATAAAAATTTTGATTTTATTACAAAACTTTTGTTTTGAATATTAAATATTTAGGAAACAAGATCAGAAGAAATTTGAAACAAGAAACGTTTTAATGTCTAGGAACAAAATAAACATTATAAAGAACTCTTTTTTTATATTTTTAATGCTAAAACTAGGGCAATTTTATTTATATAAATAAATAACAATAACTATTTATAAATAAAATAACGGGCTCCTCAACTTTTTACGGGTCATTATAGCCCTTACAAATTATTTATATTATATCATATGAAATTTAACAATAAATTGAAAGTACACAATATTTAAAACATTTATTTCCAAAAAATAATTTCCAAAAAAGAGTCATCAAATTTCGCTAAGGCAATTAAATCAATAGGAAATTTATTATTCATTTCCAAAAAAAAAGAAGAAAGATTACCTCTTTGGAAACATCCTTCTTTAATAAAAGCAAGATCTTAACTGATATAATATTGACAAAATATAATTGACCCGAGTGATGTAACCCTTCAATATATACTTCAATTATATTGGTTCAATAATATTGACCGTGTAAGAGGCCTTTGATAAACGCTCGCGTGTAAACCTATGGTTTTATTTTGAATTTGTCTTTGGCGAGATATTTTTAATACAAATATATTCTTCTTTGTCAGTTGCGAAAGTACACAGAAAGTCTATAAACAGACTCAGTTATTTTGAGACCTCTAGAAGAACCAAACAATTGACCTCAATATCAGATTCCACTCGAAAAAGCAAGACGTTTTGTGTTTTTATTTTTTTCTAAAGGCGAAGGATAGCTTAATGAGTAAAACACTTTTATGTGTTCCGGGCTCACATCAGGCTGGGGCTGGTAATTGTTTGGTGTGTTACATCTGGTCGGAAGACTCTCCTATGGCACATCCATCTTCTATAAGTTGGATGCTTTATACACTTAGAAGTAATCCAGCAGTCTAATTGTTATTTCAACAGCTTCTGACGATATAAAATATATTTAAAAAACAATGTAACTCCTAATCAAATACAACAGTGGACTAAAAACTAAGGGTAAAAAATTGAATTCTAGAGGACAATGTTCAGATGATGAGGAACTTTTCCCCAAATGTCAAACATAAAGTTTAATACTAATACAATAAGGAACATTTGGAAGAAAGCTGGAACAGTCAAGTAGTACTGTAATTGTTTTTTTCTGAAACCAATGTTCCTTTGATTAAAGACAATTTGACAACACTTAATATTTTTGAAAAAGTGAAAAAACATAGCAAACACATCAGTAACGAACTAACTAAACGATGGATTTTATTTAATCTCTTAAAAATAATCTTATTTAATGATGGTTATTTCAATAGGTTAGGATAAGGTTGCTGATAACAACTAAATAATGAGTAAGAAAAGTTTTATTGCACACGAAACTCATAAATAAGTATTTACAAACATAATTTATGGATGGACTGTGAAATTGATGTCTGATTATACATCAGAGTTGGGTTTGGGGTAGGTCAATTACTGGACATGTTCCAGTCTATTTAGTGGAGATAGGAGTAGCCAAGACCGTGGTATCCAAGACCAGAGTAGCCGGCACTGTGGTAGCCAAGACCATATCCGTATCCCAAGCCGGAGTAACCAAGACCAGAGTAACCCAAACCGTGGTATCCGTAGGAAGAGTATGGGTAGGCACCGTATCCACCATAGAAGACTCCTCTCTTACCACGGGCTTCTTCGGCAGCGAAGGCTACGGCGAAGAGGGCCACGAAGAGGACGAACTGTTAATGATAATTAATATTAGCAACATGTTTATCAATTTTATATAGTGCTTGTATATATATATATATATATATATATATATATATATAATATATATATATATATATATATATATTATATATATTATATATATATTTCTTATATAAAAGAATGAATATAACACTTACAAGGGTCTTGTAAGATGCCATTGCTGGTTGTTGATTGGAAGGCTTGTGGTTTCCTATAATCAACTGTTTTGATTGTCCCTTTTATATATGTGTCCCATCTGGATCACCTTGCTGATGACTCGGTCAGCTGGTGGGTGTGTTCCATTCTTTAAAATCGTTCTTTCAGGAGGAAATGTCCCTGAAATGTAAACCGACGAAGTACAATGGCTTTTGCCACGTATGCCTAGTAATATTTCTATCAATATTTTTTATTGCTTCTCGCCATATTATTTTTTCGATTATGGTATTTTTGTTAAATTTTACTGATTAAAATTTCAGGAACATCGTTAGAATCTGAATATACTTGTGTTATTTTCAACGTGATAATCATCATTTGTTATCGATTTGTCAATAGTTTTTCCAATCATATTTTACTTCACGTGGATCAAATTTTTGTTGCTAACATTTAGCAAATAATGGTATTACTGATAATATTTCATAGTTAAAAGAATTTGATGAGCTTCAAACCATGGCTAATTCTTGATTTTCAAAGCTCCTATTTATTTTATTATAATTCGGCTTTAATTTATTATTTTATTTATCTTGTATATTACTTTATATTTTTATTTCTCTATCTTTATGTATATGTATTTTTTTCTTTTTTTTTTCTACTTGGTAATTTATATTTATTTTCCTGCCTTATGTAAATATTGTGTGAATGAACACTATAGCCCTAGTACCAATGCGCTTCAGTGTGGGAGACTGTACTAATACTCAATAAAACCATTAAAACAACCAAAAAAAAGACCTCCTATATTATTTTTTATTTGATGTTTCTATCGATTACGGAATTCCTGTTAAACCTTTCAAATCCTCATATTTTTATTATTATCAGTATCATATATTTCTTATAGAATATTCATTTAGATTATTGTTCATTCCTTTTTTGAGTGGTTAGCATTTATTTTATTATTCATTTAGGAAAAAAAGTAAAAAGCTAGAAACATTTCCAATATTTTCCATAAATTAACTAACTTGTTTCGAGTGCAATTTTTACTTTGGGTGGTTGTGTCTTCTGCATAAAATAAAAACCAAATTAAAAATCTAATAAATTTTCAGACACATTGGTCAACCAATGAGGACCGGGTATATGCTTATATACTATATTATATATGGATATATATTAGGGTATAATATATATAATATGCTAATTAAGTAGCATAAATTAATTATTCAGTTAGATAAAGCGTGGGATGACCCTCATGACAAAAATACCCCTAGGAAGTGTCGCTCAAAATCTTCCTTACCAAGACCAAGACTGGTAAAAAAAAAATTTATTATTTTTTGCACAAAATTAAGGCGAAATAGTTGCTGATTCATGAAAATTTTAGTTGCAATACCTAAAGAATTGGTATGGCCAAAACACTTTTGTATTTAACTCTTCTAATTTTACATCGAGCTTAGTTACTTTTCTCCCATTTCCAATTTACAGTCATATCCCTGTAATAATAAGCTAATAGAAAACTGACAACCTCGAGAATTCACACATCAACCTCAAGACCCATATCCATCCATCCCTGAACCTAGGTTCAATACCCAGACATACATTCCTCCTCCTTCCAATTCCACTGACCTCACAAGCCTATTAACTTCTTTCCTCTCTGAATTTAGATCCATCATCACCCCTCTTATTTCATTACTTACCAATGTTATATCCAACCTCATTCCACCGCCGAGAAATCCATAAATGTCCTCAACCAAATCCCTCTCCATTCTCCTATGGAATGCGAATGGTATTCGAAATCACATCAACGAACTGACAATCTTATTTCATGACAAAAACATCGACATAGCACTAATAACTGAAACCCGACTAACCAACAAACGACAAATCAACGTTCCTGGCTACAATATTTATAGAATCGATCATCCTGATGGAACAGCACATGCTGGCACTGCTATAATTATCCACCGATCTCTCTCCCATCATTTATTTCCCTTACCAACCCATAATTTCCTACAATCCACTGCCGTTATAATCCAAACTTCCCTTTACCCAATAACATTAGTTGCGGCATATTCCCCGCCTAAAATACCCATTTCCGAATCCCAAATAATTTCCTTCCTGAATTCCTTAGGACATCATTTTATCCAGGACATCATTTTAGGTGCAGATTTAAATGCAAAACACCAGCAATGGGGAGCCAGATCCACAAATTCCCGAGGGCGAACATTGCTATCTGCACTTAATTCCCATCGCAGCAACATCCTTTCACCTAATACTCCCACATACTGGCCAACAGATCCCAACCGCAATTCCGACCTTCTAGACTTTTTCCTAAACAAAGGTCTAGGATCATTACACTGTTCCATTTCAAGGCTTGATGATCTTTCCTCAGACCACAGTCCTATAGTCCTGACCGTTTCCACATCACCCATTCCTAAATCATCCCCTCCTTCATCTATCAGGGGACCAGTTAACTGGAACCTTTTCCGTCAAATATTGGATGATAATATAGATCTCAGAATTTCCTTAAAAACACCTGAAGACCTTGACGATGCAGTGGACTCCTTCACTACCCTGATCCAGCAAGCAGTTTGGACTGCATCCTCACCTGATCGTCCCAAAAAACACCTCAGTATAAATTCTCTACCCCAAGACCTATTGGACCTTATCCATAGCAAACGATGCTCTAGGGCCCTCTGGCAAAGAACCAGGCATCCTGATGACCGGAAATCGTATAATTATTATTCCAAACAGATAAAAAAGAAACTGGATATCTTTAGAACCCAATCCTACAATTCCTACCTTTCCTCATTATCATCTAGTGACCCTCTGGACTGTAACTAAAAAAATCCTTAAATTCAAATCCATTTCCCACCCCCTCCGCCGTGATGATGGTTCCTGGGCTTCGTCAGATGCGAATAGAGCTGAAGTTAAAGAATTTCTCTCTTCACCAATTCCTCTCTCTCTACCTCCAAAACCTGTTAACCCCTCTCAGGTAAAATTCCTCATAAACAAATTAAAACCCCGAAAATCCCCTGGATATGATCTCCTCACTTCACAAATCCTCAGACAACTTCCCAAAAAAGCAATCATATTCCTTACCTATCTATACAACTGCATCCTTCGCACAACCAACTTTCCTTTGGTGTGGAAACATTCCATAATCGTGCTGTTTCCAAAACCAGGCAAACCCGTTAATAACACATCATCCTACAGACCGATAAGCTTACTCCCTATCCTCTCAAAAATCTTTGAGAAAATCCTCCTCAAACGCATCCTACCCATACTCGAATCCTACAACACAATTTGGATTCCGCTCAAGACATTCCACTGTCCAACAAGGCCTTCGTGTTGTGGACCGTATATCCTCTGCACTTGAAAACAAGCAATATTGCACTGGTGCCTTTCTGGACGTAGCGCAAGCTTTCGACCGGGTGTGGCACGATGGCTTGCTTTTCAAGCTCAAAACCCATTTACCCCAATCCTTATACCTAGTCCTCAAATCCTATCTCTCAAATCGTTCCTTCCAAGTCCGTTGCTGCACCGAATTCTCCACTTACTATCCAGTTGAGGCTGGTGTTCCACAAGGCAGTGTTTTGGGTCCAGTTCTCTACATCCTTTTCACTGCCGATATCCCTTCAAATCCCGATACCTTCCTAGCTACATTTGCTGATGATACTGCCATTCTATCCTCCACTCAGATCCTCAAATAGCATCTCAAAACCTACAATCTCACCTCTCCTTGATTGAGCAGTGGTGCAACAACTGGCGCATCAAAATCAATGAAGCAAAATGCAAACATATTACTTTCCACACTGCGATGCAGATCCTGTCCCACAATTCTTTTCAATTCAATACCACTTCCCTACTCAACAGTCCGTTACCTTGGCTTCCTTTTAGACAAAAGACTAACTTGGAACCACATACGAGACTTAAAAGACAAGAACTTAACAACGATATGGCTAGCTATATAGACTACTAAGCAGGACATCTCATCTTTCAATTGAAAATAACTTTTAATCTACAAGACAATACTGAAACTATTGGACCTACGGACTTGAAATGTGGGGAAACTGCTAAACATTCGAATATCAAACGATCCAATCCTTCCAGTCAAAGTACTTAGAACAATAGCGAATGCCCATATTATGTCACAAATAAGACTCTACACCATGACCTTAACATCCCATTTGTCTCGACATCATCCCATCCAGATTCTCAAACTTTCACCAGAACTTATCCATCATCCAAATCTCTGATCACTATCCAGCTCCCACCATCCTACAATCCCCTCGAAGGTTAAAACGGCAGTGGCCGCGAGATCTTTGTAAATATGCTTCGGAGTCTGGCAATGGCCAGCTTCTCCACTCAAGTCCTGAGCATCTGTGGCTCTAGTGCCCTCCTTCAGCCTCCACTGGCTTTTAGTACTAGTGATGTGGCTGGAAAAGTGGAACTGGGATCTCTGGAGTCCTGCTTTGCTTTCCACATGTGGGGAGAAAAGCCTGGCTCGGAGATTCCTGGGCGAATGTATATATTGTATATGGTATGAATGTGTTAGAAGTTGTTAATTTTTTTTGTTTGTTTATTTATTTTTTTTATTGATTTACTTTTTTTTGATAAGTATTATTTATTTACTTCTTATATTTATAGTTACTTCTGTATTACTTGTATATACTGTATGAATGAGAACTTCTAGCCTTAATACTTATAGCCCTCCAACAGTGGCTGATTGTATTATTATTCAATAAAAAAAAAAATAATAGGTAACTGTAAGATTGTTGCGAAACTCTTGCGTAAGACCAAGACCAAGACTGAGTGCACAAGACAAGGACTCGTCTTGATCTCGCATTAAGGCAACAGTACCCCTGGGGCACACCCATCTCTCATTAAGTGTTTTCTATTTATTACATAATAAATTAACTAAGAAGAAAAACCTGGCGATTGAGCGTGATCTTGGTCAAATCCCCTCATTGCGCAACAGTAGACCAAGCAACAGTAGTACATCCTTACAAATTACTGAACCCAAGATTCTTCATAGGTTGTAAGGGTACAGGT